AAAGAAAAGAAAAGAAAAGAAAAGAAAAGAAAAGAAAAGAAAAGAAAAGAAAAGAAAAGAAAAGAAAAGAAAAGAAAAGAAAAGAAAAGAAAAGAAGCTTATTATCTGAATTGTCTTTAATACTGACCAACATTTTTAAGGACTCAGTACTTTGGAGCATTTCCTCAGAAACTATCTTTACAAACCAATTCAATGAAAAAATGAAAGACGGGGAAGAAAGTGTCTTTATCTCACTGTAAACCTTGTGAAGCACTGAAACATGATTATACTAAAGATATAACTAACCAAACCACAGATAGTTATTATTTAAATTCGTAGTGAAATCAGCTTTATGAATTAGATTAGCAGTGAAGTGTAGAAAGCTGTTGACAGGAAACTATATGCTGTATCTATTTTTATTAATTCCAAGCTTAACCTATTTTCTGTATTTTTAAGGATATTCTTTTCATGACTGACCTCAGTAAACCCAACAGAACTCAAGATTCTGTAAACGAAATTAACTTAGAAAAGACAAATGAACTCTACTCATTTCTGGCAGTTTGATGAATTGATTCTATTTTTCATAGACTTTTGATAAGGTCATTGTCAGACAACATACACTATCTAATGACAATTATGCACAATATCCTAAACACTGCTATTGCAGTCTGCAGAATTTTCCTCCACAAGAGAAGTGTTTGTTATTCTTGACCCACTCTTGCACTCAGTTTCCTAGTTCACTAGCTGACTCCAGCTCCCCAGCAACCTTTTTGCCCTGGTTTGTAGATGGGCTTGTCTGTCTGGATGAAGAGAGTGTTATGCACATTCTCAATCGCCACTGATCTTCTCTCAGTTATGTTGACTGTGTTGCCTTTGGCAGAGAAGGATATGAATGCCAGGGGATCAGAAGTAGCAGGAGGAACCTGGAGAGAAACAAAACCCCAGAAAAAAAGTGGTAAATGAGGCATGCTGAGGTACCCTGCTGCTCCAGGTTCTTTAGTTGACTGTCAAATGAATCATTAACAGCTTCTGCAAAGTCATGGGAAAACTCACATTTGCCAGTGACAGAGCATTTGGGAATCTATGCTCTGGAAATCCTTTAATCTGTCATCAGGCAACAAGATTTTAAACTATGTTCTGTCCTAAGCATTTCATCATCTCCTGTAGCTACCTGCCTACAGGGAAGATTCCCAGCCCTATTCGAGAAGACTTAATCTTGGCTATTTTTTTGTCATACCTGTTCTGATTTTGCAGAGTCACAGAAAAGGCATGCACCTGGGACAGCAATCGAAAGTACTTTTCTATTTGTGAATGAAGATGGAAAGCCATTTTCCAGCACCCTCATATAGACCACATGGCTTTCTTTTTCCTCTCTCTATTGGCAGCTTTTTCATTAAGTTATCTTTTTTATGTCATATTCCAGGACTGCTCTGTACATTCTTTCCATCATTGACAAAGACAGTGGCACTCAGAAATATTTCCAGCCTCTACATCCTCTGCAGTGTTCTCAAAAAAAAAAAAAAAAAAAAAAAAAAAAAAAAAAAAAAAAAAAAAAAAGAAAATACCTTGAAGTTGCAGCACGTGAAATAATCATTTTTTGTCACAAAATCCTCGAAGAGAGTTGTCTGTATATTGCTGTATTCCAGAACAACACTCAAAGACAGAGGCTCACGGAGACTCTGAAACTGCACACAAGCAGTCTGTGGAGAGTTGCTCCGCACCACGGTTGGCACCAGCAGCACATATTGACTGCAAGAAGATGAGAACAGATCAGTCACGGAGGAAGGTGAGGGCAGACAAGAGAGGAAACTATCATAGAAATATTATACATGTGAAAGAAGATGTGGGACTTAGGCCAAGACTCGCTCAAACCACTGGGAGGATTTCCATTTATTTCAATTAATTTTGGATAATATTCCAAGTACAAATGATGACACATTTCTGTTCCTCATTGCTCTTTGTAAGCTGAAGGACTGGCATCATTTTATGCAGTCTCTTATCCAGCATGATATTGCATCTTTTCATTCCAGGTATCTAGACATTTCCGGTTAAAATTATGTCTTAAAAGGCATAAATGTACTTATCTTCTGACAACTTGTGTGTATACTTAACCCTCTGGAACCTCCCATAAAAAAGAGTGACATTTTTTTTTTAAATCATTGGCAAAAATGCTAGTTAATTGTTGCAGTAATTTTTAAGTTCTTTTTCTCTGGATAACTCTCCCTCCAGATAAGAATGAAAATATCATAAGGCAGTCAGCATAATGCAGAATGCAGGATATTCCAGGAAATTTTCCATATTCAATCTAACCTGCACGCTCTATTGCTTTTCTGTTTTTCTCTTTGCTTTTTTCTTCCATTAGATATTTTTAGATATGATGACCTCTATAATTAGTGCAGCCTTTGTTCTCCAAACTCTTCCTCTGAAAAAAACATTTCTAGATATTTGCTATATTTGACTAAGTTTCTGTTGCTGGCTTACTGTTCTCTGATGTCCAAACTAGTCTTTCCAAATAATGTATGACAGAATTGATGAGTTTGGTGTACATGAATCACACAAAATTTTCTGGGTCATACGATGCCTTCCCTTTTTCCCTTCCTACCTTTGCTTATTAATATTATACTTACTGTTATTTTCACTTGCCTAAGTTAGACTGTATGATATGCAAACACCAGAAGTAAGTTTAATGAAACCAAGAGTGTATCTGAGAAAGCAGAACCATCTGACTTTCACAGTGTTTCCTTTCAGCACTTTTGAGAAGGGGACTTAAGCTTTCAAGTTGGTGTATTTTTGAAAACTGCGACTGAAATTTTCAGTTTTCATAAAGCCATCCACACTGACAGTGCTTTATAAGCATCCACAGCACAGCAGGTGTAACAATAACATTAAGAATAACAGTAACAGATTTACAGTTCAGCATAGCTCCCTGCTACCAGCCATTATTTGTCTCGAGGACCTCCTCATATGCCATCCTCTCTATGTATTTCCAGTGCATTCCAAACCTGATCATCACTTGCTAACCTAGCCTTGAATCTCCTCCCAGTCTTACCCATGCACTTCAGATTTAATCTACTCCAGTTCCAGGTTTCTGTCACTCAGATTTTGCAGAGGCTTTGTAATGGAGATCATCATTTCAAATCACGCTTCAATATTAGGTATTTTCATTTCAAACGCATTTCAAAATCAGCACATTACAGAGCAATGTCCCAGAATAAATTAACTGAAGTGAAACAAACTTATCTATTATGTCATAAAAGCACAAGGTATATTCTCTTACAGTTCAGAAGACACTGCGACAATCCAGCTCAAGGTCACAACACTCAGAAGAATCCTTGACCACATCTCTGTCCTTGAAGAAGAGAGTTTTATATCAAATGGACAGACTTTCCTCTGGCTTTTAAACTGTCCTGAAATGACGCTCCTCCTCCACAGCTTCCGTCACGTTCTAACAAAAGATAATACATAAAATTTGCATAGGTTCATCTTCCTCTCTCCCGCCTATTCTCACATTCTCAAACAGCTTAGGTGAACTCTCATACTTCAGATAGATTTCAGAGCTAGTCAAACCGGTTCCTGTCCATTTGTTTTACTGATGCTTACCTCTCTGATTATCATGTCATTGTCTGAAGTTTGCTTAATGCTTCAGCATGTTAGTTCTTAATATTGCTAAAGTATTTCCTTGTATTGTGAAGATCTTACCTAGAAATATCTTACCGAACAGGAGTAACCGTAACAGTGCGATTGTATGCCTGCACTGGGATCTGGGTAGTAATAATACAGAATTAGACTGCATCTGCATTCAGTATGGTCCAGAAGAAAACTCCTAAACCTAATCTGGTTTTGTTACTGAACACAGTATCATTCAGCAAGGAATGGTGTTTGCTAGTTGTCTACCATTCTGTGGTAGGACAAGTATACCTGTAGGAAAAGGACTCTTACAAATTTATTTTGTTTGTTCGCTCATGTGTTTGTCAGTCACCTTTTCCCTCCAGCTTTGCAGTTTCTATTAAATAACTTTTAAGTCTTTTGGTGAAGTTTAAGTAAATATGACTGAGAAAGAATAATGAAGTTATGAAATCATTAATTAATTTAAACTGAAAAGAACCTGTTGACATTGTTTGGTTCAATATTTCATTTAAAGTATGGCTGTCTTCAAAGCAGGTCCAATCAGGTTTTGAATATCTCAAGGATGAAGAGTCCACATAAGCTCTGGACATCTGCTTCCACGCTTCACCATCCATCGTTCGAAAAATTTTTCTTGCCTTAAATCAGAATTTATTTTACTATATCTTATGTCCATTGCTTCTTTCAGTGCGCACCCTGGAGAAGAATCTGTCTTTTCTATAAACCAACTTCACATGGTGGAAGACTGCAACTATACTTCCTCTTAGCCTTTTTAATTTTAGGCTGAGTTAAACCAAACTGTCTCAGATGTTGTTTTTGTTCCAGCCACCAGCTATTCTGTTGACCTTCCTCTGCCTATCTGCCGTTGCTTTTCTTGTACCAGGGAGCAAATCCTGGACATAGGACTTCATCTCTGATTTCACAATTGCTGAGTAAATGAGAAGTGCCAATTTCCATCGTGTGATAACTACATTCTTGCTAATATAGCCTGAACATAGAAAACTAAATTATCTATAGTAGTAGTAGACTGCATTTATACTTCTCTTTAAAAAAGAAAGAAAACAAAACAAAAAAAGCAAAGTGGCTGATCAACATGTGAGTAACTGCAGCCTATGGGAAGCAAGAGTTTCCCTTCCTCTTCCTCAACCAAACAGGTGATGAAAAGGAAGGGAAAGCTGAGTATACTGTTAAAGCAATTAGGGACAAAGAAAAGATATAGGAGTGCTGAAAAAAAGACTTAGTCAATGTAGAGTGGGCCTACAATTATCTCAGTAGTAAGGAATATAGAGAAGGAAATGAAAATTGTTATAGTAAGGTTGTAAAAATGGCTGTAGGACTGTTGAAGACAGACTATCATGTTTACTTCTCATTATATAAAACATTTATGCTAATGATTTGGTCATACGTGTTATTTCTGTCAGCATAAGTAATACTTCAAACTACTCCTGTCTAACTTCTTACCTACACAACTTTCCCAGAAGACTTATGATTACCAAGCGAGGACACAAGCAAAAATGCCTAAGTTATTGCTGGAGCTACTGTTTATTGCTACTGTGCTGCTAGTAAAAAATATTGCACAAATCTTCCCAGAATGGCTTGTCACTAATGTGATAAGGCTACATGGCAAATGTGCACACAAGGCAAACATGCTGTGAGGAAAGCAGCTGCATTGGCTGCAATCAGGACAGAATACAGCTAGGAGCAGTTTGCCTAAGTTTGTGTTTACAGCTTTGAAATGCCTCACACTCCCTGTATTATTTCAAATTGGCCATACCCACTAAGCAGTAGGCACAAAGGACTGAAGAAAAGAGAAGGAAGTGGAAATCAGTTCTGGGACTTTGGTACAAATTGTTCCAGAAGCTCACCTTCAGCGAGCCTTTAGCACGTTTTCGTTTAAAACCATTCCCCCATGTCCTATCACTATCAACCCATGTAAACTGTCATTCTCTCTCCTGTTTATGAGCTCCCTTCAAGTACTGAAAGGCCACAATGAGGTCTCCCTGGAGCCTTCTCTTCTCTAAGCTAAACGAGCCCATTTCCCTTAACTTTTCTTCATAGGAGAGGTGCTCCAGCCTTCTGATCGTCTCAGTTCTCCTCCTCTGGACTCGTTCCAAGAGCTCTGTGTCTTTCCTGTGCTGGGGGCTCCAGGCCTGGACACAGTACTGCAGATGGAGCCTCACAAGAGCTGAGTAGAGGAGGACAATCACCTCCCTCTCCCTGCTGGCCACCCCTTTTTTAATGCAGCCCAGGATATAGTTGGCCTTCCCAGCTGCAATTGCACACTGCTGGCTCATGTCCAGCTTCTTGTCCACCAGGACTCCAAGTCCTTCTCCGCAGGGCTGCTCTCAAGGGGTTCTTCACCCAGCCTGTATAAACACCTGGGATTACCCTAGCCCAAGTGCAACAACTTGCACTTTGACCTTGTTGAACCTCATTAGGTTCAAATGGGCCTGTCCTGGTCCCTGTGGATGCCTTCCCCAGATGGGGAAGGGGGTTGGATGGGGGTTGGACTCGGTGATCTCTGGAGGTCCCTTCCAACCCCTACAATTCTGTGATTCTGTGTGATTCTTCCCTTCCCCCTACTGTATCAACTGCACCTCTCAGCTTGGTATCATCTTTAAACTTGCTGAGGGTGCAATCAATTCCATCATCTATGTCATTAATAATGATGTTGAGGAGCACTGGACCCAAGACCAACCCTTGGGGAATACCACTTGTGACCGGCCTCCGTCTAGACATAGAACCGTTGATCACAACCCTGTGGCTGGAAGCAGCCAACCAATTTTTAATCCACCTAAGTACATCCTTCTAATCCATACCTCTCCAATTTAGAGAGAAGGATGTGGTGAGGGACCGTGTCAAAGGCTTTGCAGAAGTCCAGTAGATGACATCCATCACCCTTCCCCTGTCCACCGATGCTGTCACTCCATCATAGAAGGCCAACAGATTGGCCAGGCATGATTTTCCCTTGGCAAAACCATACTGGTTGTCTCAGATCACATCTTTGTCTCATATGTGCCTTAATGTAACTTCTAGGAGGATCTGCTCCATGATCTTCCCAAGCACAGACATGAGGCTCACCAACCTGTAGTTCCCTGGGTTATCCTTTCCCCCTTTCTTAAAAATGGGAGTAATGTTTCCCTTTTTCCGATCACCTAGAACCTAGAAAACTGGGCAATTTGAACAGGATTAATTCCTTTGTGAGAAGTTACTTTCTTGTCTCATTTATATAAAACAGTTCTGCTGCAGAGAAAAATCACGAGTAAAAGGAATTAAATAATAATATCAAAAAGTCTCAGCAAAAGCTCCCTGTTCATCCAGGCCAGTCTTCCCTGCCAGCTCATCTTATGATACAGGGGTGCAGGCTGCTCCTGCACCTTGGAGATTTCCTTCTTGAGGAACGTCCAGCCTTTCCGGACCCCTTTGACTGTCAGGACTGATTTCCAAGGAATTCTCCCAACCAATGTCCTAAACAGTTCAAAGTCCACTCTCCAGAATTCCAAGGTAGCAGTTTTGCTGACTCCACTCCTGTCTTCACCAAGAATAGAGAACTCTATCATTTCGTAGCCACTATGCTCAAGGCAGCTTCTGAGCACCATGTCTCCTAGTCCTTTTCTATAAACAGCAGGTCTAGCACATTGCTTCCCATGCTACGCTCTCTTACCAGCTGTTTCAAAAAGTTGTCTTCCACACACTACAGAAACCTCCTAGATTTCTTCCTTTCTGCTGTATGCTACCTCCAGCACATGTCAGGCATGTTGAAGTCCTCCGTGAGAACAAGGGCTAGCAAATGAGTGATTTCTGCCAGCTGCTCAAAGAATGCTTCATCTGTCTTTTCATCCTTGTGAGGTGGTCTATAACAGACTTCTGCCAGAATGTCAGCTTTGTTGGCCTTCCCTCTGATTCTACCCATAGGACTTGACCTTATCAATTCCCAGCAATGAGATCTGCAACATGAAAGCATTCCCTAACAAAGAGAACCCTCTCCCTCCCTGGGGGGGGGGGGGGGGGGGGGGGGGGGGGGGGGGGGGGG